CAGCCAATAGGTTAAATGGAATGGATAGAATATAAAGGGAAAGAGAGAAGGAAGACTTGCTGCTTTCTGCCTGCCTTGCCATGGGCTGTTTCTCCTCTACCGTGCCCCTCTGCCATGCTGCCCTGGTTTGGAGCCAGCTGACTATGGACGGAAAACTCTGCAGACTAGCTGGGCGTGGCGGTGCACACCTGTAATCCCAGCACTTGGGAGGCTGAGGCAGGAATATCGCTGTGAGTTCGAGACCAGCCTGGGCTACATAGTGAGTTCCAGGTCAGGCTCAACTACATAGTGAGACCCTGTCTCAAAAAAAAAGGGGGGGGAGGGGCTGTGGATTTAGCTCAGTGGTTCCACCGCCTGCCTTGTAAGCATAGGGACTCTAGTTCAATCCCTGGTACAAAAAAAAAAAAAAAGACAACTCTACAAACTATGAGCTAGAATAAACCTTTCCTCTTTTAACTTGCAGATGATGGATATTTTGACCTAGAAATGCTGTATAACAAGACAAAGAACAAGGCTCAGAATAATCCCTACATCCTCATTGAAGGGACAGCCCTGGACTAGAACATTTTTCCTCACTGTACAACTCTCCCTAAGTATTTAATACTGCCCTAGGGAGAGCAAGAATGCCTCTCTTCTCTGGTCTGGGATTGGCCCACTATGATGGATATGATTCCCATGTCCTGTGGAGCTGGGTCTCAGTTGTGTCAAATTACTAAGGTTGTGCAAAAAACTAATTCATGTATCCAGAATGATGAGAATCAAGCTGGGTACAGTGGCACACACCTCTAATCCCAGTTACTCAGGGGGCTGAGGCAAGAAGATAGCAAGTTTGAGGCCAGCCTGGGCCATTTAGTGAAGCTGTGTCTCAAAAACTTTTAAAATAAAAAAAAAATGCTGGGTGTGGTGGTGCATACCAGTAATCCCAGGACTCAGAAAGCTGAGACAGGAGGATCACTGAGTTTGAGGCCATAATGGGCTATATAGTGGATCAGGATCATCCTAAAATATGTGGCAAGACCCTATCTCAAAATATAAGTTCTAACAATTAACAATTAAAATTTAAAAGGCTGAGGACATAGTTCAGTGGTAGAGCATGGATGAGTTTAATCCCCAATACTAATAAATAAGTGATAGATAGATAGCCAGAGTCAGAATTTGAATCCACTTTCCACCAAGTTAGATTATACGGGAGAAGTTAATTTGTAGAGGATTGACTGTGAACTCCATTTTAGACAACCTGAACCCAAAATGCCCTTCTGGCATACAAGCAAAGTCACCTAATAAACTGTTGGGTACTGTATATTGGTCCTTATACAAGTTATTTAAAGTCATTGAGCCTCCATTTTCTCATCTGTAAAATGGCAATATTATCTATCTTTTGGGCTGGGGTGAGACAGGTCTTGAAATGTAATTCAGGCTGGCCTTGAACTCACTGTGTAGACCAGGCTGGCCTTAAACTTGTGGCAGTCCTTCTGCCTCAGCCTCACAGAGTGCTGGGATTACAGTTGTGCGCCACCATGCCTGGCTTTGATATTACCTTTTTTTTTTTTTTGGTACCGGGGAATCGAACTTGGGTCCTTGGCACTTGTGAGGCAGGCCACCGAACCGCTGAGCTAAATCCCCAGCCCTTGATATTGCCTATTGTAAAGGGTTACCACAGGTAGATTCTTACATAGTACTCTGCTCACATCAGGCACTCAATAAGAATAAATGAATAAAGAAACTAATACCTATAACATTGTATATATTCTTTCCAGGTGTTGGTGGTGCATGCCTATATTCCAGGCATTTTGGAGGGTGAGGCAGGAGGATCACTGCAAGCTCAAAGCCATTCTGGGCTACATAGTGAGTTCAACATATGTTGTCTGAATACATAGTGAGTCTCTATTGTCAAGAGCCATTCTATGTAATTTTGCTGGAAAAATCATTTCATAATTAAATTGTAGTTGGGCTCTGTCTAAAGCCTACTGTCTTCTTGCCGTGCTAGCTGACTATGGTATTCAGAAACAAAGTTCCATGTGCTTTGGTCATAGCTGAGGCCTCGATGGTCCCATGATGTTGTCATGCTCCAGGGCGAGATGACATCAGTTGAAGAAATCCAGTTTCCTTGAGAACTGAGTAGTAATAAAAAAAGAAAAAGCTTTGCCTGGGGGAAAGGAAAAGTTCTTTATTAGCATGCCGAATCTCATCCCATCTACTATTGTAAGAATGCTTTGCCCTCTCACCACCCTCATCAACCTAAGATCCTTATCAAATCGGATTACCACCACGCTCCGAGTCACCTGATAAATAATGGCAAGCTTGGAGTGTCTTTGTCTTGGTCCACTCTGCATGGACCTCTCAACCCCCAACGAATTTTGAAAGTGTGCCTGTCTTTCCTTATCCCTTGCCACACCCTTCTCCAGGCAGCAGATTGGAGGACTGATCAGCCTCGATACCCTATCTCAGAAAAAGTTGCATATATATATATATATAGAGAGAGAGAGAGAGAGAGATTAATTTTTCCAAGTCTACTATTTCATTTCCTTTATTTGATCTCCGTAAATGGGACTACACATGTCTTTGTAACTGGAACTCTCTCTTTTGTCCCTTCTCCATGGTACCTAACCACAAAGTGGGGACTCACTAATGAGTTGCCACAGTAAGTTCTCAAGTGTGGAAGAGGATCAAGGCCCAAGCATGGAGGACCCTTGTTCTCCCCCAGCAGCATCTCTCCCGTTTGGTAGTACCACTCTCCACTCAATCGCCTGTGCCACAAGCCTTGAGTTGTCTGTAGCTCCTCCCCCTCTTTCGCAGCACAGACATTTCAGCAGTCACAGAATTCCAGTAATTTCACTTCACCTGTATTTTTGAAAACCCTCCTCTTTTCTACATCCTACCCCTATCCACCATGAGACTTAACTGGTCTCTTTGCCTCTGCTCTTGCCTCCTCAAATCCATCTTCCAAACAGGCAGCAGAACAGGTATCTAGAGTATACATCTGACTATGTCACTACCCAATTTACCCTTTAAAAGCTCCCTGATGTCTAGTCTGACCCATCAGGTCTCCTGTGATCCTGCCCTCCCTTTCCTCCATCCTGACCTCATATCCCATGTTTCTGCCTTTTTTGTACCCAACCTCATGAACTTCTCAGGTTGCACCTTCTGCCTAGATTTGCTTTTTGTTTATTTGTTTCTTTTCTGTTTTTCCTTCTGGCCAATCTGTCATTATTCTTTACAAATGAACTCAGAGCCAGGTGTGTGGCACACGCCTGTGAACCCAGTACTCTGTGAGGCTGAGGCAGGAAGACTGAAAGTTTGAGCTGAGCCTAGGCAGTTCAGTGATTTAAGCAAGCAAGCCCATCTTACAATAAAAAATAAGAAAGGAAAAAAAGGCGGGGGCTGGGGATATAGCTCAGTGCAAAGGCTCTGGGTTCAATTCTCAGTACTACAAAAAAACAAAAAAACAAAACAAAAACAAGGCCCCTTGTTTAAAAAAAAAAAAAAAATAATTATTTCCGCAAGGCCCCAAGTTCAATCCCCGGTACAAAAAAAAAAAATCCAAAAGCATTATTTCAAGCCAGGCATGGTGGCACACTGTCGGGAACCAGCTATGATGTGTATAGACTCGTAGGGGCCAGGAAACAATCCCAAGGTTGATGTTAACTGGACTCAGGAACAAAGAAGTATGCAAAAGACTTAGACATCCCGGCTGTGTGGGAAAGCCATGAGACAAGATGATGCCTACTGAGGGCAATAAAAGACATCCTGGTGGGCAAGGACCTTAACTTCTCCCTTTGAGGTGCTAAACTTGGTTCTTATCTTGCTATACTAATATTGCAGTCACTGTTCCTGGACTAGCACACTACCCGCTCCCCTGTGCTCCTTGCTGACTAAATAAAAGTGGGCTCACTGTGGAGTTCACTGAAGACTGTCCACTAGAGATAGATTCCTCCTGGTCCTCCATGACAAACTGAACCCCCCCACACCAGGGAGCAAACTCAGGACCTTGCACTTACAAGACAAGCGTGGCACCACTGAGCTAAATCCCTGGCCCACAAGTTGAATATTGCTTCCATCTCTTTCTTTTATTCCCTGTGGTTCATCCTACAGATATTTGAGAGTCTAAAGAATTCCTGATAGCACACACCTGTAATCCAGGCACCTGGGAGGCTGAAGCAGGAGATGGCCATGACTTAAAGACCAGCCTGGGCTACATATTGAGTTCAAGGCCAGCCTGAATTACAGTGAGACCTTGTCTTAAAAAAAAAAAAAAACCAAAACAACAACAAAATCATTATTTCAAAGCACAGCATTGCACCAAGCTGGGACTTCTCTGAATGTGGGCTCTTGTGCGACTGCACAGGTCACATACTTGTGAAGTCAGTGATGCCAGAGTTCTCAAATCAACCCCAGCCTCCTCATTAGCAGTCACTCCATTCTCATTCTCAACCATCCCTAGGAAGGAAATGGGACTCCTTCTAGCTCTATGCAAAGGCTATAGTTCTTTGATTGTTTGTTTTCAGAAAGGGTCTCATTTGTAACCCAGCCTGGCTTCAAATCCGTAGTCCTCCTGCCTCAGACTACCAAGTGCTAGAATTACAGTACGCGTGGGCTCATAAAGCTTATAGTCTTTTCCAAAAAACTTCCTCCTGGGAATTTGACGCTATACCCATTCTTTCACCACTGGCATACAGCTATGAAAAGGCTCTCACTGACTCTTTGTCTCCCCAGATTATTCAAGACCCACACACACAGGAGGCCACAGATGTAGCAGTTGGGAAACCTGTAAATGTTTTTTTTTTTTTTTTTCTGGTACCATGAATCAAACTCGAGACCTTCCACTTGCAAGGCAGGTACAAAAAAAACTCGAGACCTTCCACTTGCAAGGCAGGTGCAGTGCCACGGAGCTAAATCCTCGGCACCCTTTGTAAATTTGATAAAAAGCAACTTCTAATGAGTCATGAGGTCCTTGCCCAACACATGCCGGGAGAACCTCCCACCCAGACCTTTGCCCTGGGTCCAGGGTCTGGGTCCTACCTACACAGGGCACCTGAGGACGTGGAGGGCACATACAACACATGCTCCTTGTTTTCCAGCCGCTGAGAGCCATGGCCTCCAACTTCATGCCCCTCCAGAGACCATGGAAAGCTTGGAGAACTTGGGAAAATTATCCCACAGCAGATGCTGTGGCCTGCATGCTGTGTGTTGCTGAAGAGGAACAGGTAGGAAATCTGTTGCGGGCCAGCAATGAAAAGGAACTTTCTTATTTCTAGAATGGATAATGTTGGGAATCAGGTCCAGGGCAGGTTTGGGAAGAGGCTCTGCAGAATGGAGAGAAAAGAGTCAAGTGTTTTCCACAGCTGACTGCTAACACCTCCCGCATTCAGGGGACTGTGATGGCCACCCCAACACCTGAATCAACATCCAGTGGGGAAGGTGAGCCCAGGAACTGTGTGGTGTGTGGGGACCGAGCCACAGGTTATCATTTCCATGCCCTGACCTGTGAGGGCTGCAAGGGCTTCTTCAGGTGAGAGCCTCCTCCCCAGTAGACACAACATCCCACCCCAACAAGACTCTTAGCAGTCAGCCTTTTGACCCTGCAACGTGCCTGAGCTTATCCAGGTACATTACTTCCTGTGTCTGAGTCTACTCTGGGGCTCGTACCCTGTCCTCTAGTGACCACAGCACTGTATAAACTGGGGCCACAACAGAGAAGGCCGACCATTTGTCCCATGCACGTAGCCCATCGGTAAAGAATATTTATGTGCCTATCTGCAAAGCAGCCAGGCTTGCCTAAGTGATCCTGTGTCCCCATAAAAATACTCAAGATGTGTCACACCCTGTCCACCCCTGAGGACCTTTGGGCACAGCTCAGATTGGCCCATGACTCCAGCTTCTTCTTTTAGCCCATACCCTCTCAACTCCTCACAAACTCACCTGCCCATTCCCTACCTCAACTCTGTCACTTACAGACGAACGATCAGTAAAAGCACTGGTCTCACTTGCCCTTTTGCTGGAAGCTGTGAAATCAGCAAGGCCCGGAGGCGGCACTGCCCTGCCTGCAGGTTGCAGAAGTGTCTAGATGCTGGCATGAGGAAGGACAGTGAGTTGGCATCCCACCACCCCAAGAATCCACTGTTTGTATTTCTGTACTTGGTCCTTGTTCCCAATGGCACATTTCCACACGGCATGCCAAACAAGCTTTTTGAAGCTAATTGGATTTTGTCACTATTATTCCCCAAACCTCCAGTGGCTCCCCAGCGCTCTTTAATTATGTGATCTCGTGGTTGAATGCCTGCAGCCCACCTTTCAGGCTTTATTTCCTAACTCTCCTCCCCTTGCTCTGTCCATTCCAGCCACACGGACTTCCTCGAACACATCAAGCACTCTCTTCCCCAGGGTTTGCATTCTCTCTACCTGAAACGCCCTTCCCTGGGTATCACGCCTTGCTTTTTCTCTCCTGTCACCTAGTGGGTGCTCAATAGTGGTCCAATTAATCGTTTTCTCTGTGCCGCGTAACCAGTCTCTGCTCCCCACAGATGATATAACACAGATGTAACGGGCTCAAGCTCATTCAGGATAAAAGGTGGAGAGTCAGTATTCAGCATGAAGTCTGTCTGACGCCCAGACTCATTTTTTCCACGTTATCAACTGCTTTATAATGTGGAGCAACAGAAAGAAAACCATGGAAGCCAAACATCTTGGTGTGAATTCAGTCTGCGTCCCTTCTTTTATGACTTTGGACCTGTCTCTGGTGTCTAAGCTTGTTTACATTTTTGAAGTAGATGAATACTCTCTGTCCTGCCTTTCACAGAGTTGTTTCATCCAGTGAAATCTAACATCAGAACCTTTGAAATTACAGTGCTAGTGAGACGTGGCCGTGCATACCTGTACTACCACACTCTGGGAGGCTGAGGCAGGAGCTCGGTGGGGGCAACTTTGACAGACCTTGTCTCAAAAAAAAAGCCCCTGTCTCAAAATTATCTTTTCTTCCCCCTTCCCCTCCTTTCTTCTCCTTCTCCTTCTTCTCCTTCTTCTTCCTCTTCTTCTTCTTGGTACAGGGAATCAAACTCAGGGTCTCACACTGTGCCACTGAGCTACATCTTTGGCTCCTGTCTCAAAATTTTAAAAGACCACCTCAAAATAAAAAATAAATAAATAAAAAGAAGGGCTAGGAATTATAGCTCAGTGGTGAAAGCCCTGGGTTTAATCCCCTGTACAGCGCACACAAAGATTATAATGCAATGCAAGCATAAAGTGATGTATTAAATACTAAGATCTTCAGTGTTTGTCCGGAAGCCAAACACCTGACAGCTTTCCCACTTTGCTCTCATGCTTCCCTCTTTCTGGTGGTGCCGTGTTCTACTGCAATGCCTCACGGGAACCTATGAGGTTGATGAAAGTGTAAGGAGCTCCATGACAACAGGAGCAGCCAAGTTCAAGGAAGTTCTAGGAGCCCAGCCAACCGCAGGGAAGCATCAGAAACTCCCCACCGCTGCACCACCACTCCTTGCACAGGGCACCTGGAGGCCCCATCAGGGACTGGTAGATAGGTGCGGTCTGCTGGTCTCAGTGCCTTGTCACATCTCTCACCCGGCACAGTGATACTGTCAGCAGAAGCCCTGGCATTGCGGCGAGCCAAGCAGGACCAGCGGCGGGCCAAGCAAGCAGCTCTGCAGCTGAGTAAGAAGCAGAAAGAGATAGTCCAGACCCTGCTGGAGGCTCACACTCGCCACCTGGGGACCATGTTTGACCAGTTTGTTCAGTTCAGAGTGAGCTCCTGCAGGCTTTGGGCTGGGAAGTGATCAAAAGGGTACCCCAAAAGGAGAGGGCTGTGTGCTCCCTACCAAGAGAGGGTGAGTCCTCAGTACCCTGGCCTAGGAAGGCCCCTCAGCAAACTACGCTTCCCCGATAAGGCTGGTGAGGCCTATGGGACAGCCTTGGGGCCCGGGCCTCTCACTCACATGCAGATCTCTGTAGCCCCCAGCGCACCTGTTCATCCATCACCAGCACTCAACCGCCACAGCCCCAGTGCTGCCACTGCTCACGCACTTTGCAGATATCAACACTTTCATTTTGGAGCAAGTTATCAAGTTCACCAAGGAACTGCCCCTTTTCCGGTGAGTGGCCTCCCCTCAACTCCCAGGAGGCAAATACTTCATAAACTGTATAGCCTCTCACCCCGCAAAAGCCACTGATCAAGTTAACACTTCTGTCTTTCTAAGCGCCAGGTCTCAAATTTCCAGTTTATTCTTTTTCTTTTTTTGGTACTGGGGATTAAACTCAGGCCTTGTGCTTGCAAGGCAGGCGTGGTGCCACTGAGCTAAATCCCTGGCCTTATTTATTTTTAAACAATACTGCAGGATAAACCCAGGGACCTTATGTATGTTAAGCAAGCACCCACCGTACCACTGAGCTAAATTCCCAGCACACCGCCCCTTTTTTTGTTTGAGACAGGACCTCACTATTGTCCAGGCTGGCTTTGAATTGAAATCTCCCTGCTTCAGCCTCCCAGGTAGCTGAGATTATAGGTTTGTTCCACCCCATCCAACTCCAGCTTTGTTTGTGTCCATCAGGACTGGGGCTCCCTCTTCCCTTCTGAAGTTCAGGCTTAAATTTTCACCACCCTTGTTTCTGGCAACCCACAGGTCCCTACCCATGGAGGACCAAATCTTCCTTCTCAAGGGAGCAGCAATAGAAATGGGTCAGATTGCACTTAATACCACTTTCTGTCTCCAAACACAAAACTTCTTCTGTGGGCCTCTTCGCTACACTTTGGAAGATGGAGCTCATGGTGAGGTGGTGCCAGAACAGTTGAAGGCGCGTGTCCCTATGCTATGGGATAGGGTAAGGTGACTTGCAGACTCCTAAATCCAGTATCTCCCACAGTGGGATTCCAGAGAGACTTTTTGGAGTTATTTTTTCGCTTCCATGGGACACTGAGACAACTGCAACTCCAAGAGCCTGAGTATGTGCTCATGGCTGCCATGGCCCTCTTCTCTCCTGGTGAGCATCTCCCATAATCCAGAAACTCTGGCCCTGCCATCTGTGCCCAAACCCTCAGCCCCTTGGATCCATCCACCCCCAGCCATTCAGCCTCCAAACCTAGAGGGTCAGAATCATCCGCAGCCCCCAGGGCACCGTGCAGGCCTCCCCCACCTTGGTCTTCCTGGTCCTTATCCTACAGACCGGCCTGGGGTTACCCAGAAGGAAGAGATTGATCAGCTGCAAGAGGAGATGGCACTGACTCTGGACAGATACATCAGGGGCCAGCAGCCCAGGCCTCGAAATCAGTAAGTGGAAAACTGGGGGCTTGGAGGTTGCACCCAGGAAGGAAGGCTTAGGGAAACAGATCTCAGGATAAATCCTTTTTACTCTTTTGCTTTAGGAAACCAGGTGTCTTGAGGCTCTGGTCCTTCCTGCCTGGCAACCCTATCTCACATAGTTTCAGCAAGCAAATTGCATTTATTGCAGCTTCACCTCACTTTTTCCAGATTTTTTTTTAATTCAGTAGAGATGCAAAGTAGTAGCTCACAGGCTCAGTATAACAGCATTCCTGAGAATGATGACATCCATCACCTCACCACTCCAACATCTCCAGACACTCTTCTTCCTAGGCCCTTCCTCTCCTCTCTAGTTGGCCAATTCCTTGGATTTTTCATTTCCTCTGAAGTTATGGTCATTCACAGTTCTGGCCAAAGCCAATCCCTGGTTCAGTAGCCTACAATCTACATAGGTTCTGAGGTGTGCACCACTTCTGTCTTGTTCATCACTTAATGAATGAGTCGGTTTGCCGGAAAGGGCACACTTTATACCACAGAACAACCTCACCTTCTAGAACTTGCTCTAGAAGATCAGACCCTCAGATTCTGTACAGATGAAGTTCTGGCCACATCTGGGGCTTTACACTTAGCCCTCAGAGCTCTGGGTTCAGGAAAAACTGGGCACGGTGAGATGAAAACAGTGTCAGAGGCCCTCTTGGGGACCTTTGGAATTTTTGATAAACTTCTCATACCAGAGCATGATTTTCTTTAATGTTCTGACTTAGCATCACTGAGGGATGGTTCAGTAATCAGGGCCTCAGAACAGAACTCCCAGCTGCCTGATTTCCCTTCTGTCTCTGGGATACTTCCTCCAAAGGTTTCGGTATGCAAAGCTGCTGGGCCTGTTGGTGGAGCTCCGGAGCATTCACAGCACATACTGGCACCAAATCCAGCACATCCATGGATTTCTCGCCATGATGCCCCTGCTCCAGGAGATCTGCAGCTAAGGCGGAGCTGACCTCCTCCCCCCACCCTCCTGGGCCACACCAGACTGGACTGGAAAGGGGAAGTTGTTGGGACAACATATGGGGGCCAGGAGGAAGGGAGCTCAGTGGTTACAATGAAAGACAAAAGCAATCACTGCCTGTTCATGCAGTCGTGGGGGTGACCGTGGGCACAAAGTTGTTCTCTGGAAGCACAGAATATCGAGAAGGTGGAAGCCTCAGGGAAGAAGTAACGCTCCTTCTGGGAATGAGGTGGCCCCTCTTTCTGAGGCCACAGATTTAACCTCTCAGCCCTAATTTCTCAGCCTTGGGAGGCTACGGGATGGGAAAAGAGGATGGGGAGTGAGTCCCATGCAGACGTCTCTGCTCTGAAGAGGAAGGGACTAGATGCAGTTATCCAAAGGAGAAAAGAAGGATGTGACAGGGGATATTCAGCCAGGCACACCACTTAATCCTTCTCCCTTTGTCCAGAACCATAAGGTTGGGAAACGGGAAAGTGGGGCCAGTGGAAGAAGTGGGACCTCAAACCACCGCCTCATCAGCTGACCCCGTGGCAGCTCCAGTTCCGAGGAGGATGTGGTCCTGTCCCCAGCTCTGCTCCTGACACCTGAAGGTCACCCAGCAAGGTGGGCTCTGGAGAGGGGCCTAGTGTTTGGCCCTAGGGCACCTGACTCGGAGGTTCAAGCTGCTGTGGGCCCGGCTCAGGAACAACCTCAGCCCACAGTGATGCTGAAGCCACAGTGGAACCTGTTGCGCCAGTGATTGAGGAAGGCTCCAAGGGCCAGGGTGACAGGCAGCGGGGGCATCTTCTTCTCCAGCACAGCACCTACGCACCAGTTACTATCCACCAAGCCTGCAAGGGAAGGCATAGCGACTAGGTTCCGTCACCGGCCTTGGAGAAAAGAAGCTGCAGAAGTAAGACAGAGCCCCTCCATCCCTATGCCCCGAATCCCTCAGCACTTCCAGATGTCACTCAAGTGACACTTACCTCTAAACACCATGTTGGCCTGGGACAGAGTCAGGTGGTAACCAAAGGAGAAGGTTGTGTCTTGTAGCCTTGTGTTTGCCTCAAACTCCACTCCAACCTGAACCTGAGAAACATGGGCAAGGAGAGGAGATCCATCTTAGTGAAGGACAGAGGGGTCCTCAGAGGGGACCAACAGAATGAAGGCAGCGTGACAATGTATATCCAGCATGAATAGGAAGAACACTGGGCTGGAGATGATCAAAGCATGTATTACACATAGATAAATATGCAAAACTGAAACCCACTGGTCTGTATAACTAATATGCATTCTTCTTTAAAATACCAGTGAAAGAGCCAGTCGTGGTGGTGCATGCCTGTAATCCCAGCACTTGGGAGGCTGAGGCAGGAGGATTGCTGTGAGTTTGAGACCAGCCTGGGATGAAAGAGCCACGGGGTGGTGCATGCCTGTAATCCCAGCACTTGGGAGGCTGAGGCAGGAGGATTGCTGTGAGTTTGAGACCAGCCTGGGCTATATAGTTCCAGGTCATTCTCAACTACATAGTGAGACCCTGTCTCAAAACACAAAACAAAACAATAAAATAAAATGCCACTGAGAGAGAAAAAAAAAAAAAATTCAGCCAGCAAAGCTTGTGGATGTCTAGAGGGGCAAAAGTTGACAACTTTTTGTTAGAGTAGGGAATGAGATCAGAAGTCTTACCTGTTCATTTGCCCTGTGGTAATAACTTGCATGGGCCCCACCGGATCCCACATTCAATGTAGCTACCCAGTGTACAGCTGTAAGAACCAAAAGTTGGCTAAAAGGAGCGTTACGATAGGACATGGGCCAGAAACCCCAATAAAGTTCAGAATCTCCCCTCCCCGTCACTACCCCACTTCACTGCATACCCGAGTACTTCCCAGCCAGGGTCAGGATGGCCCCCTCTTCGCCTGGCCGCCGGTGATAAACTAGCTCTCCGCCCAGCACCAGCCGATGAGTGAGGCTCTGCAGGAAGTGAGCAACCATGATCACTGTGGGGGAGTGGAGAGGCACGGAGTCAGTCACAGAGACCACGGTCAGGTCTGCACCCACCCCCAGATCCCCCTATCCCTGCCTACTACCCAAGAAGTTCCTTTCCCAGCCCTTAAACTAGCGGTAGCGAACCTATGGCATGCGTGCCAAAGTGAGCACACTGAGCCCTCTGTCAGCACACGACCAAATGTGTGAGCTGTTTTTTTCTAAACTAAAACCTCAGTATTCAGGTTTCATTGCAGTGATGGCACTTTGCAATAAATAAGTAGGTCTGGGGATGCAGTTTGGGCACTTGATCTCTAAAAGTGTCGCCTTCCCTGCCCTAAACTATACAAAAGATGAAGAGACAGAGCCAACGTTAGCAAATAGGCAACCAAACCCAAAGAACCCTGTCCCAATTTCTCACCTGATTCCCCAATCAGGTCAGGGTTTCCCAGGGTCAGAGTGGCAGTGTAATCATCTCCCCGATACTCGCCATCAAACTGCCATGTCAGGAACTTGGCGTGCTGCGTCTGAGTGGGGAGACAAGAAGTCAATCTCCCTCCTTCTTTATAGGATCACTGTTACCTCTGTTCCTCCCCTGGGTCCCCCAGGGCAGGATACCCAGGGAGGAGAAAGAGAAGTGCCTCAGTGGACGGAGGCAGGAACTGGGGGTCACCTGGAAGACAGCCTTAGCTCGGAGCCGCTCTGCCAACAGAAGCAAGACCTGGGCGTTGAGGCTGCCACTGCTGTCCATATCCCCTACCACAGTGGGGAAAACCTGTTGAGGAGTGTAGACAGTAAGGCTGAGCTGGGGTGCATCAATCGGAATACTAGTGGGATATCATGAACGTTACACAGCACCCCCTAGTGGTGGCACAAAGACAAACTCTTCACGCATGAGGAATGTTTCTCTACCCTTTCCAATACAGAAGAAACTTAAAGAGTGCAATTACTGTCCATTCTTCCCCATAACATATGTGTTTCCTCTTCCTCCAGCCCTAAGTTCCAGGTGAGCTTTTAGAAAGTGTGGTGTCCTCACCTCAGTAGGGCTAAGTTGCCAGTCCCCTGCATAGGCGGCATGGAGGTGATAGCCTGGCAGGCCCAGGGCACTCATGTGCACAGTGTGAGACACCTGAGGAAAAAAGAGGGAATGGAGGAGAGAGCCTTCCTGCTTCATTTCAATCCCTCATTTCCCCCACCCTTTCACGTTCTCCCCATCCAGGGGGACTCTTAAGAATCTCAAATATTCCAGCATATGCAGAGGGTCACTAGATTTAAAGCAACAAGTCCCATCGACAAGGAAGGTACAGACAGCCCCATATTCTCCTTCATTTGTGCCACATGGCCTCATTAAGGCTGGAGTACAAAGGAAAGGAGAAGAGGATCTAGGGATGGACAGAGAGGGATTGTAAGAAGGGGTCAGGGAAGTGGGAGCACCTGGAAATGGCTGCTCAGAACCTTGTTGACCACGAGCTTCACTCCTTCCATCTGTGCTGGGAATACATCTGAAGGGGTGATGGGAAGGGAAGGAATGAGCACAGACAAGGAATCCCTACCCAAAGAGGTAGTCTCCCCTTCCGAGCCCAAAGGAAGCACTGGAGGAATTGACCTCCTTTCAAATCCTGCAACAAAATGCTCCACTCCATTTGGACACCTGAACCTCCCTGAGGCTGGATGCTCCGGATGTGTTCTCCCCTTTCCTGCTCCCATCACTGGACAGACATTCAGTGAGACCCCTTCGACTTGGATACCCTGATGCCAAGTTCTCACCTTTGCAGAGCCGGTGCAGCTCATCGAAGCTCCCAGGATTGGGCAGAGGTTCTTCTCGGCGGGGGCTCCGGCGGGGCAAAGTCCCCATCGGTGCCAGGCCCAGTGTGTTCCCCATTTTAGTCCAGAGGACAAGGAGAGGCCGGGGTTAGCCTGGGAAAAGACGCTGTTGCTCCCTCTACCCCTCACGAGCCCCACCCCCCATCATCCAGCTCCCCAGTCCCAGAAACTTCCACATGGTCCAAGGCTAGACCTGGAACAGGAAGAGTTGGGGGAGAGAGCACTGATGAAGAGCCTGAACCTCAGGCACACTCCCGCCCCATTTTTGATCCCTCACCCCCACCTGTCACCCCTGTCCTTTCTCCCATTCTTTAATCTCAGACCTCATCTATCTTGCCAGTCTCCCTACTCTTCATTGCCACGTCCCCAAAACAGACCCACAAATGAAGTAGTAGTCCCTACCATCTCAGACCATTCTTCTGCCCCTTTGCCCCAGGCACACCCCGGTCATCTTGATGGGGGCAGCCATCTTGAGTGATGGCAGAACTGCGGCTTCACGCTTCATTCCCAGCGTGGTCATGAGTGCCATCTTGGAACCGGGCAAAGAAATCAATCAAAGACCCAACCCTCTCCTGTGGGCCCCTCCCAATCGATGAAAAAAAAGGCTCCTCGATCTCCCAGGAGCCAATGGGAGAGGAGAAAATAAGAGTGACAGGTCTGACGGCCCGAGAGCTTCAACCCCGGCCCTGTAGAGGCGGGTGAAATTTAATTCGAGGCTTCTTGTGGAAGGCCTGAGATTGCCCCGCCTCTCCAAAGTCGTGTACCTATGATCTTACAAAACACTAGAGGTAGTAACTCGTACAGCCTGGAGACCTGCGTTTTGTGAAAGGTGACGGAGGGAACGACTGTGAAAACTTTTTTTTTTTTTTTTTTAATTGGGGATTGAACCCAGGGCCTTCGCACTGAGCTATTTCCCTGGCCCTATTTTCCAGTACTTTTTTTGGGAGCGGGGGCGGTACCAGGGATCGAACCCTGGTCCTTGCGCTTAAGGCGGGCGCAGGAACCCCTGAGCTAAATCCCCAGCCCTAGCCCTTTTTTCTGTTTCACATTTTGAGACAGGATCTTCCTAAATCCGTTAAGTTTCCCAACCTGGGCTCCAGTTTGAGATCCCCCCACCTCGGCCTTCTAGAATTCTGGGACTGCACACTGGGCTAAAGAACTTCTTTTGAACCCTGGTTCATGTCACCTCCACCACCCACCTATCCACAGTTCCCAGAGAGGACACTTACAAATGACTACCACTCACAAGGACACAGACGTGCGGGGAAAAGAGCCATTTGGATATTGGTTTCCTAGGCTTCATCGTATGAACCCATTTATGCACAGTAGGAACAGATGTTGATCCACAAGCATATTGCACATCAGCTACTATTACCGTTGCTATTCCTACAAGAGGGAGGTCTACAGCTCTCCAACTCGCCCTCTTGGTGAAATGGGAATGGGCTCAAGTGGAGTAGAAGAGGATTCCGGCAGAATGATTTCCTATAGCAGCTGCCCTGGAAGAGTCCCCCAGTCTCAAGGCACAATGAGCAAATCAAATCGAGGAATAGGACTCCAGCCTGAAAATATGCTCCACCCCAGGGCCAGAGGCAAGCAACAGAGTGGCCCTCAAGCACTTTCTGCTCCACAGGGAACATAGAAGATTTGCTGGTCTTTGGTCACTACTTCCCTCACTAACTACCACTTCGCCACCCCCATCTCTCAGCAGTGCTCCATGTACATAGCAAGTAAGTTTTGGGGGCAAAAGAGTGAAAGATACAAATGTTCCTGGTATGTGTTTAGCTGAGTCCACCTAAATATGCTCCAGGCCGGAAGGACGCACCTCTGCCTTCTCTCACAATCAGGATTGGGACAAGGGCCAGTGCCTTGCCAACAGGAATTCTATTTGCCCCTCTGATTCAATATTGGCTTACCACCTCCTGGAAAAGATAAAGTGAATAAGTGACCAGGCACCTTCAACCTTTATCCAGGCAGAAACCTTGTACCTCTTGTCTGGACAGAGAGGGTAAATGCTGTTTCTTAAATTTGTTTTACTGCGGGGTAGGGAATGCTCATTGATCAGTGCCCAAAGGGGTCATTCTGAGGACTCATGTTTTTCTCCCCCATCTCATTACACATTAACTCAAACGGGACAGACTTGATAGCACCTGCCCTTGGACCCTGACCCTCATTCCTCTCCCCCAATCCCTTCACTATTCCCCATGATTTCTCAATTCCTTTCTCTTTTTGTCTGTTCCCCATGTTTTGGGACATGAAATCTGCCTATAGTGTGATAGTGACACCAAAGGCTGGATGTCAGAACTAGGACTCCTGCTTTCCCACTGCATAAAAAAAATCAAGGACTGATAATCACGGGTCCCCAAAGAATGTATCTTTAAGCAGATCTGAAGTGTACCCTCTTGCTCCCTTGGCCTCCACCAAGGCCTCACCCCCTGCCCCTCACCCCATCACAATGGGTCCCCCCTGCTTGTTCGCACCTCCCCCATTTCTCCAGCTTGTTTCTCCCGCCAGGTCCTTCCCCACAGTCTCTGTCACCTGACAGTAGGTGGAGAAATGGACCTGTATATAGCTCTGCCTCTCTAGCCAGGCCAGGAACAGATGCCAAGGACAGAGACATTGACAAGGTACGGTGAGCAAGCAAGAGGTGTGGGCAGCATGCAAAGGGAGGGAACCAGACTGGAGTGGGCCTTTATGGGAGGGGATCCCTGGGAAGGGGCTGAAGACCATTTGGCTACAGTGTCTCTTCCCACCACCAGCACTGTTCCTCAGCCACCTCTCCACCATGAAGCTGCTTGCGATGACTGTGCTGCTGGTTACCATCTGCAGCCTGGAAGGTGAGTGTAATGTGAAGACTGTGCCAGAAGGCCTGGCCACTCATCTGTGTGCTCTCCTTTGAGAGCTGCAGTGGGTACTGGCAGAGGTGTGGCGGGAGGCCAGGATTCATTACTGGAGACCCAGCTGAGAAGCGTATGCATGTGTGTGCAGGGGCTCTGGTTCGGAGGCAGGCAGAGGAGCCAAATCTGGAGGGCCTGATCTCTCAGTACTTCCAGCCCATGGCCGACTATGGCAAGGACCTGCTTGAGAAGACCAAGGCCCAGGAGTTTCCGGCTCAAATCCAGTAAGTCTTGAGGAGAGGGGTTCAAGAGCTGAGGGACCCTGGGGAGGAGGAAGAGAAGATGGGAGGTCTCACGGGAGACAGCTCAGGATGAGGGTTGGGGTGGATTAGATTTAAATTGGAGAGAAAAATTCCTCTGCCACCTGAAGATACCATGTACCTGTTCAGCAGATGAGGGCAGCAGGAAAGTGGGTCTGAATTTCAGTGTCTGGAGTCTGTTCCTCTACCCAGGAGTGTTTGCTTCTCCTCCTAGCAGTTTCACCATGCCAGATGGACCAGGTCTACAGTTTGGGGACCTAAGTCAATCTGTTCTGACCTCTGCCAGTGACTCAGGTCCTTCACACTGACCTCTTAATCCCTCTCTATCCAGGTCTTACTTTGAAAAGGTTCAGGAGCACGTGGTACCTTTGTTCAAGAAGGCCGGAACTGATGTGTTTAACACATTGATCAGTTTTATAGACCTCCAAAAAACACAGCCTGCTGCCCAGTGAAGTGTCTAAATCATTGTCCTCCAACCCCAGCTGGCCCCTAGCACATCCATGGGCCAGGTCTAGAGCCCTTCTCTCTACCTTGCTCTCCATTTTCTACAATAAATGCAGGAGTCAAAACTGTGAACTTTGTGTGTTTGGGTGACGGGAAGAATAGCAGAGTGGGGGAGGAGTAGGACAAAGGAAAAAGATAAATCAGCTTCAGAAAGGAGAAGGATGCCAGGCATGGTGATGCAAGCCTATAATCTCAGCACTCAGGAGGCTGAGGCAAGTGAATTGCTGCAAGTTCAAGGCCAGCCTGTGCTACATAGTGACTTTGGGGGAGCTGAAGTAGCAGAGAATAAGGAAGCTGGGAACTATTCTGGGATCAGGTCATCTATCTTAATCTGTCCTCACTGGTCCATTTCATGTTTGCATAAGGTTCATTTTTTTTTAAGGGTCCTCTTGGTCTGGAATAGTCTGTTCTATAAACAGGACTTAATTAGGGGTATTGATATTTTTACAAGGCTGAAACAATGTGGGGAAGGGTCAGAACTCATGGGAAGATGTCCTTTGGACTTTTCCTTACAGGCACCCCTCAGAATTTCTTCCTAATTATTCTATGAAGAGAAAAAACCTCCTCCAAAATTAGCCCACTGCTCCAAGACACTCTCTGAGCTTGGGACTCTGTGTTTCTTCTATCCCATAATAGAGAAAACTGAGCTTACTCCACTCCCCAAAAGTGCTCTTGTCCCTGCATTCTAAATCTCTGATTTGGACCCTGTGTGGGGAAGGCCCATTTTCAGCCCTTTGCTTATCATGATCCAGGACCTGTTCATAGAAACAGCCAGGCAGCCATTTTAGAACCTGGTAACCATGATAGCCATTTATAGGCCTGACAGGTATCTAACTTGGTGGACACATTGGACTTGAGAAAATTTAGGAGCTGTTATATCCAAATTAACTCAAAATGGAATGAAGATCAGGCTCAGTCAATGAGAGGAGAAATACAAACCAAAACTGTAGGACAAAGGAAAATGAGGCACTTTCCAATAAAAATTCGTTTCCACTTTATTACAATGCTAGGGACTGAATCCAAGGCTTTTTGCATATTAGGCAAGGGCTCTATCACTGAGTTACACTCCCAGCTCCCTACATTAAAACACTTGCTTGCCTACCCTGGCTCATTTCTTCTATCTTATCTGAAATCACCTTTTCCCCAGAGACTGCAGATTGTTCCAATTTCTTCTAGGTAGTGATCAACCTCCTTAGTCTGGCCTTCAAGACTCTCACCATTTGTGATTATTCTTCTTCCCTTTTCTTTCAAATTGTCCACACTTTTTTTGTTTGTTTGTTTGTTTTTGGTACCAGGGATAGAACTTGAGTCCATGCACTTGCAAAGCAGGCAGCAGAACCGTTGAGCTAAATCCCCGGCTCTGTCCATACTTTCTGACATGACAAATGTGCAGGGACAAAAAGATCTGTCAGTCATTTGCAACAAGGGGACCTTGGATGGGTTAATTTAAGACAGCCTGAATTTCTCCTGGGGGCTTGCAAGCAGACCTACTGATACAAGCAGCTGAAAAAGTTTGGAAGGTATAAGTCACTATGCAATGCATAGTACGGCCCAACACAGGGTGTTGCTGGGAGTTATCTGAAGGCTGTAGTCCCATTCTGGAAGGGCTTCTGGATTAGAGGTAGAACTGGAAGAGCTTTGGCAGCTCTAGAGGATTCCTTGGCCATCCACCCATGTGCTAGGAGAAATTACTTCTTACCTGGACCCAACTTGTTCCTCTCTGCCTTACCCACCTCCAACCCCGATCTGACCCTCTCTCTAAGCTCCCTCTTGTCTGAGAGTCCCCTGAGAAGTCACTGATTTCCATAAAACCATTCACTAGGAGTTTCACATAGCCTATCTCTTCTGTATATTTGAATCAGCTATGCTATTTATCACATACACGTACTGGCTTGGTCCTATTTGGGCTGGTGACTATTTGGAATTAGACAGATAGGCTCCCCATAACATAACCTTGAAGACACTGAAGGCCGGGTTGGGTGCAGAAGTCATTTCTTCTGCCCAAATGTTTCCAAAGGTGCCTGCACTCCCAACAGGGTGGCAGTGTACTCTGTGCTCCAGGGTCATCCCAGAGTACCTGGGTCAAGGGTCTCATCCACCCCCCAGCCAGTCAGCATCCATCCAACCAGCCAGCAAAGCAGCCCTGAAGTCCATTAGACAGTGAGTTCTGTGAGGTCAGGAACTGAGTTCGCCTGTCTTAAAACTGTATCTCCAGTACTCAGTCTAGTGCTTAGTGGAGGCTGAATAGATAGATAATGAATCAATAAATCAATGGAATCTCTCTGGGGCAGCTTTATTGGCGGTACTCCCTTGCCATTGTTTAGTAGGAGCTGGGAATGGGGAAGAAAAAATGGGCAGAAGGGAGTGAGACTAGAAAAGAAACATCAATGAATAGCGTCTGAGCACAAGTCTTTGACAGGGAGGAGGACTGGTAGACATCAATCTGGGGTTTAGCGTCATTATGGGTAGGGCCAGCTATCATTAACAATAGGCAGGCATAGGTGAGGCCAAGAGAGGTGGGAGGAAAACTGGAAGCTGAAGAAGGATGTGACAAGGACATCTGGTTACTGGGGTGGTTTCTCATGCTTCAGTGTTTCATAAGTCTCTTGGTTCCGGGTGCTCAGGCCCTGAAGGTAGAAGTCAAAGGATGAGGAGAAGCATGGGCCCATCACAGTGCCCTCACCCTATAGACATCACCCTTTCCAAAGCTCAAAATCCCATCCTCCTCCTCCGCTGACTGGGGGCAGAGGGAAGGGTTCACTTACCGTATAAATGCCATCTGATTTCTGCAGAGACAAAGGAGGCAAGGCGTTAGAGATCCACGTGCCCCTGATGAGCCCTCAGCTCTTCTCTCCCATCCCAGGAAGTGCATGGGTTAGGGCTCGGGCCAGCTGCTTTAGGCTGGAGGGGGCGCACAAGGGTGCCCCCGGACTTGAACATACTCGGGCCCACGTGGTTACAAACACACTGCGCACAACTCTCTCTCTGCTAGATTCTGTCCCATCAGCTGGTGCATATTTTGCTGTGGTTTAGCTAGGTGGCAGGCGTGTAGACTGAGGTGAGGGGAGCCTCTGAGCTATTCACAGAGCAGCACCAGAGACACACGCTCTCCCAGAGGCCTCCCACCAAAAGCTGGAGCCCCAGGAGAGCTGAGGGCCTGGAGAACTGCGGGAGGGGCCATACCTCAAAGCTGGCTATCGCTGCCTTTCGCACTTGGATCTGGAGTGGAGAAAAAGTGAATCAGTAAAGAGAAAGTTAGAGGCTCATCCCCCACACTTTGGGGGAGAATCCCTTCAATTCCCCTTCCTCCAATCCGTGCTGCTGCCGCCCTCCCACTTCTCCTTCAAGTCCCCACCCAACCCTGTCTTACCTTGAGTCGACAGTAGAGCAGAGTCAGAATTATACCATACAAAAACAAGATGGCGTCCAGGATGTAGCACAGCTGAGGCTCCCCCAGGGCCGCTGAAGGGAAAGAGGGTGCCACTGCGGGTCAGGGGCATCAGTGGGGATCTGGTGCTTGCAGGCGAGGACAGGGCATGGGAGCGGGGGTCAGGGCCTGGAGAGGAGCCCTCCTCTATGGAAGTAACTGTCTTCCTCTCTGGACTCCTGTTTCTTTCCTTTCCCTTTCACCTACCCTAGGGTAGGGGTGGGATAGGCAGCATGAAGGTTTCTATTGTGGGACTAAACAGTACTAGGAGCCGATGACTTCCCCCTTAGCCCAACCCTGACTTTTCAGCACTGTGGCTCCCCAGGCAGCAGGAGCACTTCATTCACCTCAAGGGCTCATCTAAGTTCACTGAGCTGAGACCAAAACCTCAGCCCAGCGGGGGAAGGGGAGAGAGGCAGTGCCACTTTCAGTGAAGAAACCACAGGAGTGTTTCTGCTCAGTCCTGTGACCTGTGGCTGAGGGCTGGACAGGAAGGATGTGAGCTGGGGAAGGGAGGGAAGGCAATCGCTCTATTATTGGTCATCTAGCCTAAGCCCCATGCTTTCTGCCCAGCAAGACATTTCAGTATGCAAAAAGCAAAGTGTCCCTTTTCTTGGCTGTACAGACACCACTGGCCCTGCGTGCAAGGCTGGGAGAATGATGAGGGGCTCAAGGAAATGACCACAAACTAAATCCAAAATGTAGATTCCTCCTCTGTCTACTCTGCCCTTTTACTCACCCTGGGCTTCTAAGTAGGGAAGTTTTGCGCAATTTAAAAAAAATCACACAGGGCCTGGGCCCCAGAGACCGTTCCCAGCTTTGATCAGGGCCGACAGAGTACATGACTAACATGGGTCAAGTACCGACACTACCACAGTCTCTCACAAGCTGTTGCATAAATCTCAAAACTACCCTGTGAGGGAAACATCGTCTTCATCATTTTACAGATGACAAAACCCAGGTACTCAGAAAAACTAACATATTGAGGACTAGAGTTGAGCGACAGCCAGGGCTCAAATCCAGGCTGTCGGTCTCCAAAGCCCGTGCTTTTCTGTCTTGCCATCCCTGCCTCCCTCATCCCAGGCACCTGCCCATCAGCTCACTTAATCCTTTCCTCCACCTTCTCAGGAGGGATGGTGGAGCTCCTCCCCTGCCATTAGCTTTCAATTTCCCTAGTTTTGCTAGTTTACCAACCGCCTCTTCCCCAAACTCTGCTAACACCAACCCTCTCCAAAACATGCACACAAATACCCTCCCAGTCAGACAACCCAAAGCAAGCAAGAGCTTGTAACTTACTAGAGCCTTGGAGCTACTGGGGCCTCCCCCAACCCACCCCCGTCGGCCTCTATTTCTCAGATGCGGCTGGGGTCCCCAGTTCTGGACATTTCATGGTGTCCACCCTCCTCTCAGCTGTTGACAGAATGGTGCCTTCATGACAACCTCCAAGAGCAGAGACCAGGTCTGCCTCAACTACCCCTTGCCTCCCTTGCCAAGCCCAAGGACAGGCGCCTGCTGGCCTGAAGGGGGCTGTGTACATTCACGTAACTAGAGCGGCTCCCAGTGCACAAGGCCGAACGCATCCCAGGAGGAATGTTGAGCAGGGGAAATCAAGTTTCTTCCCAGACCAGCTCTTCATGCCAAACAAATACCCTCTTCCTCTGCCAAAATAACCTTTCGTGTCAATCCTGAAAATAGCCTGGAATGAGGTAGGAAAGGGACTAGCACCCAGAGGAGGGGTGCCCGCTACTACCAGCCTCGGGGTCTCTGCCCGAGCCCTGTGCCCGTCACCTGCCTTCCTCCTTCTGTTCTCGACCCAGCTCTCGGACACATGTCCTTGATGCCCACCCTGCAGCCCGACTCACTGGCCTCAATGAACCCTCTCACCTGCTTGTTCAACCAAAAGGAGTAAGAGCAAGACCACTGCTGGAAACATCATGGGCAGGGGGCTGAGGGGCCGTGAGCTGGGGATCGGACGCTCTGACAGCGCTGTGCAGCTGTGCTCGGCGAGGAGTTCCCTGACCACAGAGTTCTCCCCTTCCTGCCCCGCCTTCTCCCACACTTTGGCCCCTTCCCCTTCCTGCACCAGAGGCCGGGCGGCTCCCGGAAGGGCCAACTAGAGGAGCCAGATCTGGGCTCAGCCTCTGCCCTTCACTGACCAACCTCTCAGCCCTTGCAACCATCGAGGCGACTCAAGCTCCTGAAAGGCTGTTTTCGCCATCTTTCACTCTGCCCCGCTCAGCTACATCTACAAAGAAGTGCTCCTCAAGGGTCCCTTGGACCCCACCAGAGCCCTTTCCTTCCCATTAGGAACTTTATACCCAGCTTGATTTGAGGAGTTTACCAATTTGTGTGGACAGTGGGAGGTTTGGGCAGGAGGAACTGAAGGGAAAAGGGGAAATGGGGAAGACAAAAGTGGAAAGGACAAGAGACAAAGAAGGGGATGAAAATGCGAAAGAAAAGCTGCTAAGAGACTCAGAAGGCTGAGGCAGAAGGATCACAAATTTGAGGCCAGACTGGGCTATATAGGAATTCAACGTCAGCCTGAACTAAAGAGTGAGACTGTGTCTCAAAAAAACAAAAAACAACAAAAAAAGACATACCAGATGTTTGTGTGTAGGAGCCGCAAGGCGGCTAATTTATTGTTTCTCCTTTTCTAGTACATGCACAGAAAGTCCATTCAGCTAAGCGTACGTGTGCACACATACACACAGCCTCATTTCCAGGAGGGACACGCTCTGCAGAGGCAGCGGCTAGAGCAGGGAGATCAAATGTTGTTCCCTGCTTACCGATCAACTTCTCCAAACACAATGTCTTGGGTACCTAGAAGGTCAGAAGACAGAGAAGTGGTGTTACCAAAGATCCAGAACTCGCCGCCTCAGGAGAAGGATGTGCCACAGTCCGAGCAGAACAAGGACTATTCAGATTCTGTCCCAAACTCCCAGACTGGACACCTCTCCTAGAAGAAGCTTCATACCTATGATGGCAACGACATCCGCCAACATGTGTCCCTTAGACATCATGTCCAAGCCAGCCTGAGGAAACGGAGATGGCAGCAGGGTTAGCCTGATTTGCAGCAGGGGAGGAGAACTCACAAAAACCTTAACCAAGGGCAATTCGGTACTGGCTTTATTGAAGTTCGAATCACAGGGATTGCTTCTTACCAGGTGGGCAAAACCAGGAGCCTTGATCTTGCAACGATAGGGGCGGCTGCTCCCGTCAGACACGAGGTATACCCCAAACTCTCCCTGCCCAAGGAGGAAGGGGGAGCCTTGTTAACCGGAAGAGCACTCTTTGCCAACAGACCTCTGTTCATCCTCACGCCCTCTCCTCTCCCTCACTGACAGGTGAGCATTTTGTTCCCACCCACTCTCCAAATAACCTTTCCTTCCACCCTTCTCCTCACCTTCGGAGCCTCAATAGCAGTGTACGTGGCTCCTGGGGGGACCTGGTAGCCCTCAGTATACAACTTAAAGTGGTGAATCAGCGACTCCATGGAAGTCTGAGGGTGGACAGCGGGAGCAGCAGTGAGCCAGATCCAGTCTGCCTCTTAGGCCTTCCCTCGGTAGAGAATGTAATCTCCCCCTCCGGAGACTAAAACCCACATGCAAGTCAGTAAGCAGAGAAGACACAGAATAACAGAGGACAGCTAGGAGAGGTTCAGAATCTCATCTTACACAGTGAATTTTATGAAGTAAACTGAAGAGCAGAATTTAACCCAAGGATACTCCTCCCTGACCAGTGACCCCAACACCCCACTGTCCCTCTCCCTGCAGCCGACCTTCATCTCTGAGCGCTTAGGTGGAGACACTTTGGCATCATCGACCTTGATCTCTCCAGGAGGCATCTTGTTCAGACACTGCTCGATGATGCGAAGGGACTGGCGCATCTCCTCCACCCGACACAGGTACCTGGAGTGGGTGAGAGACTCAGAGCAAGGGACGAGAAGGCGGAGCAGCAGCTGTGGGGCTGGGAAGACACCTAGTGGGCCTCAAGAGTCAGGTAAACATTCTTCACTCTTCTGCTAGTACAGCATCTCTGCATGGCTCGGCTGCTCATGTAAGCCCGGTAGTACTCTGATCCTATCCTGAGCTCTTCCTCAAATCCTTCCTTCCTTTCTCAAACAATGACCTGTAGTATTTCCTCCTTACCCTCGTCAATACTTTCTGAACTACAGAATTAGGGGGGGTGTCAAATGGAAAAACAAAAACCATCACAGCAAAACTTATGGTCAGTAAAGAATGGAATTTCAGGTTTAGAATTAGTGGAAAGAGAACTCGACTAGGAAGATTCTAGTTTTAACCACTAACAAAATAATCCCATGTTAACCTCTTTATGCCTCAGTTGTATCAGTTATAAAATGCATGCCAGGTGTGGTGGCACACGACTGTAATCAGCACTCGGGAGGCTGAGACAGGAGGATCGCTGTAAGTTCAAGACCAGCCTGGGCTACACAGTTGAGTTCCAGAGCAGTCTCAACTATGTAGTGAGACACTGTCTCAAAAAAAAAAAGGCAGCCCACACTAGTTCTATGTAATACAAGGATTGCATAAGGGTAAAATAAGCTACCACAGATGTGTAACCTAGTCTTGTCTTTTCTTTTGGTCCTGGAGATAGAACCCAGGGCTGTACAAACGCTAAACATGTGCTCTGCCACTGAGTTACATCCCCAGGCCACACAACCTAGTTCAACACATACACGAGTTCCCACAGATACTTGGAAGGAGGTAGAAGGAAAGTGGCCAGGAGAAAATTTAGGCAGGGGCAAGAACTGGACAGTGAGCCGAGAAAGGGTCTGGGCCTTACCTGTCATAGCAGTCCCCTCGAGAACCAATAGGAACATCAAACTCAACCTGGTCGTAAACATCATAGGGCTGGGTCTTCCGCAGATCCCACTGGATACCTGAGCCCCGGAGCATCACTCCACTGTAGGGCACAAAGGGCATCAAGGACTGTGCCCCGCAAACCAAGAAAGGAAGCGCAATTTTCCTTTGTCTCCTTTCCCTCCCCCACACTCCTACTGTTGGGTACAATTTCAGGGGATGGTAACCGGGGTATCCAACTCCCTTGAAAGCCAAGATATCGGGCTAGAACTCCCCACTGCACCTCCAACCCCAAGGAGAGAGGTTGTATTCTCTCACCTAAAACCATAGTTAAGTGCGTCTTCTGCTTTTACAACTCCAATGTCGACTGTCCGATTCCGCCAGATCCTATTGTTAGTCAGCATCTACCAATTAGGAAAACTAGTGTGGCAAAACTCTTCATAACTATCCTCAAATTCCTCTGTATTTCTTCGCAAACAGGAACTAACACCTCACGAGCCCCTTTGAGAGGAAAAGAGATTTTTCCCAGCAATTTCTACCTTACCTCCTCCACTTCATCGATCCGAAGAGAGAAGTTCTTGGAAAACTCATAAATGTCATCCATAAGGCCAAGGGGCAGGTCCTACAGGAAGCCAAGTGGAGGAGACGCTGAACACAGCCAGGCTTGCTCTAAGGAGAGCCTGCTAACACGCCTTTTCCAGGGGGCAAGGTTAGTTCCCATCAGCCCGCACTGCCCTCCAGTGGCCGTGCAGGGAAAAGGCCAGGGCTGGAAACCCCGGGGCCGAGGAGCCTACTCACCTGGTGCACTCCTCCGGGGCGGACGTAAGCAGCGTGCATTCGTGCTCCAGACACCCGCTCATAGAACTCAAACATCTCGACAGAACACAGTAGGGTTTAGTGACAAAGTCCTCGGCTCCTCAGTCCAACAACATGGTGGCCGACTACCTTGCCTTCTGCCTTGTCCCAACCAACCTCTCAAGATGCAGGGTTCCGAAATGAATTTACCCTTTTCCCCCTAAGTGGTCTCCCCTTCTTTTAATCTTGGCTCCTTTGTATCTTCCCTATTTCCTCTACTTTCTTCCCTATTCCTGCCCACGCTTCCCTCTCCTACCTTTTCCCTTTCCTCAAACATCCAGAAGAAAGGGGTCATGGCCCCAATGTCCAGAGCATGTGTGGTCACAGCCATGATATGGTTCAGAAGTCGTGTGATTTCTCCAAACAGCACTGTGGCGAGGGGAAGACAAGGAGAGATGCATAGAGAAGCCGCAGATCCAGCCTGAAGAGCAGTAGGGCAGAGCCTGGGGTTCGTTTACTACGTCTGGGGTCCAAAATGCTCCTATGATGGGGAAGAAGCGGGCAGCAGGGCTAAGGGGCAGCGCATACCTCGGATCCACTGGGCCCGGGGTGGAGGCTGGATGTTCAGCAGCTTCTCCACAGCCAGTGAATACGCCTGCTCATTACACATCATGGACACGTAATCCAGCCGGTCAAAGTATGGAAGGGCCTGGGAAAGGGAGAATTCAAGTCTTATCTAAGAGCCCGCGAGCCTGGAGCCTGGCTGCCAGGAGCCTGGCATCAGAAGGTGGTGCTGCATAAGTGCTCCTTGTCTCTGCAGCCCCAGAAAGGCAGGAAGGGTATCTCAGTAACCAACAGCATGCTGGGAAGCATTTCAAAGCTGCCTCTCCACAATGAGGGAGAAGGCTGATCCGTCAATTTCCATGGTAAAAACATTCCCACCCTGGCCAACTTTAAGTGCAACACAACTGAATGCAGCACTGGGAAGAGCAACAAACCATTATACAGTACTTCCATTGCATATGTGTGAGGAAAGTAAATACCTCAAAGGCACAGCACAGGAAAATATACCAATGAGGAAATGAGTTTTGAGTAATTAAAAAAAAAAAATTTTTTTTAAACAAGGTCTCACTCTGTAGCTCAGGCTGGTCTTGAACTCACTATGTAGCCCAGACTGGCCTCAAACGTGTAGTGATCCTCCTGCCTCAGCCTCAAGACTACTGGGATTACATGTGGGCACCACCACACCTGGCTTTAAATTTATTTTTTAAGTAATAGACAAAAACCTAACAACTGTACATATTAATGGGGTACCCAAAGTTTCAATACATGTAAAATTTTGAGTATTTACTTTTGTTTTTAATACACTGTCATAAACTTAAAAAATCCTAAATTTACAGAACTCATTTTTTTGAGACAGGGTTTCCCTATGTAGCATAGGCTAGGCTCAAAGATGTGATATCACTGTCTCAGCCATCAGCAACAGGCTCCCAAAGTTCCGGAAAACATTCAGGCTGTGGCCAGCCAGTGTGTGCTGGCTTTAGCACATCACAATAAACAGACCTCTGTTCCGAGTAACACTGCTCTCAGAGTGCCTTGGACTTCTAAGTCTCTTTTTTCTCTTAAGTCTCTTATAACTGAGATATTGAATGTTAATGAGTTATGGGGGTACCTGGGAGCGTGGGATTTGAGGAAGACAGAGCACCAGGTAAAAATGGCCTTCCTCCAGAGTGCCACTCAGGCCAACTCCTAGCTGTCTGATGAACCAGTGTCGGCTTCCAGGAAGGAGGCGGGGCTAAGACCCACTCCTTGGGACAGCCTGTTCTTGTCCTGACGTCACTGTGACACAGGATAGTTAACCCGCGGATGCTGGGTCCAGAACCATCACAGCTAGACTCTGGGGTATCACATCCTGGTCACTGTTCACCCTGACACTGGGCTAGGCTATTGCCCCGTTTTCATGGAACTGATTAAAAACTTCAGATTCCTACCCCAGATCCAACTCCTTCCAATCTGAGTTTTAGCACTGGGGTCACATAGTTCTGAAAACAGCAAGCTGTCACAAAACCACTGCTGGTCATGCTGACTCATTGTTTTGAAAACAAACTTAGCTGGAAGCTACAAGAATCAGCTGCAAATCCTAGGAGCTGACGTCTCTCTCCTCTCCTCTGGTTTTAAGGACACTGGCTTTGACGTATTAGTACAAGAGCAGGGAAACTGAGGCACGAGAGTAATGGTGAAGGGGCCAGCCAAAAGTCAGCCAGAGAGAAGCTGGAGTTACAGCTCCATCTCCAAAGACTGCTGCTGCCAGATAAACCAAATCCAAACTACTCGAGCATCCTCAACACCTCCCTCCACCTCCCAACCAAGCCTGCGTGAATAACCTCAAAGGGCTATTACTCCGACACCCTCCTCCCTGAAATTCTGGGCATAGCACATCCACAAGCTCTGAGGCAAAAGCCCAGATCCTGTCAACGGGCCCCTGTTCACCCCACACCTGCAGATACGTCTTGTACTCGATGAGCTTCTCGGTGCCCCGGTGCAGTAGCCCGATGTGAGGGTCGCACTTTCGCACCATCTCTCCGCTCAGCTCCATCACTAGCCGCAGGACTCCATGGGCTGCGGGATGCTGGGGCCCGAAGTTCAGGGTTAGGTTGGAAACTATTTTTTCCTTGGGAGGGTCCACATCTGAGAAGTGGGAAATAGTTCAGAGCCAAATGGTAATTCCCCTGTGAACCCCAAGGACAGCAAGGACTTGGTCTCTCCCTATGGATCTTCCATCTCACCATTCTATAGTTTGTTAATTTCCTAATCTCTGATGTAACTAGGAAGAAAACCACTAGATAGGAAAAAGGCAAGAGAGAGATCTAAACTTTCTGATGAGAGGGACCACAAACCTGTCTCCTAGAACATCTTTCTAACAATTACAGATAGGGGCCGGGGATTTAGCTCAGTGATGCCACCACCTGCCTCACAAGCACAAGGTCCTGAGTTTGATCCCCAGTATCCCCCTAAAATATTACAGGTAACATTTATATCACCTATTATGTGACAGTTACTACCCTATACACTTTATTTTGACAATTCTCATAACAATCATACTATTAGCCCCATTTTTTTGGAGAGACTGAGGCAAGAGAGCTCAAATGATTCCTCCAGGATTATAGAGCAAATTAAGTGTCAGAACTGGGATCTGAACTAAGCCTGTTTAGTGACAGGGTCTACATATGCTTCGTGTGTGTGCTGGGGGGGTACTGGGGATGGGACCCAGGATGCTTTAATCGCTGAGCATCCCCAAGCCTTTTAGTTTTTTTTTGGTTTGTTTTTGTTTTGTTTTTTTTAGTTTTGAGACAGTCTTGCTAAGTTGCCCAGGCTGGCCTGAGACCTGTAATCCTCCTGTCTCATGGTATGTGTTACCATGCCCGGCTATGCCCAGCTATACACGCTTTCTTTTTTGTGGTACCGGGGATTGAACTCAGGTCCTTGCACTTGTGAGACAGGTGGCAGAACGAGAGCTAAATCCCCGACCCCCCAGCTATACACTCTTACCTACTAGAATATAATGCTCTCCAAATGTATTTGATCAACACCAAGTAATCAGAAAACATATACTTAATGCTTAATACTACTAAATGATAATTTTCACCCTCAAGGAGCTTACACTTTAATTTGGGAAAATGCATGCATGTGAAAACTGGTAGCAGGTCAAATTTATAAGTTACCAAGTAAGCAAATCAGAGATTAAATATTTAAAGGAAGGAAAGAGAACAGTGAAGACTTCATATAGAAAGGATCTGAAGCCAGGTGTGGTGGCACACATCTGTAATCCCAGCACTCGGGAGGCTGAGGCAGAAGGATTACTGTGAGTTCGAGACCAGCCTGGGCTACATAGCTAGTTTCAGGTCAGTCTCAACTACATAGTGAGACCCTGTCTCAAAAAACAAAAAGAAAAGAAAAAAGAAAGGATCTGAGCCATTTTTAGAGAAAATGGGCCAGATGTGGTAGCACATGCCTGTAATCTTAGCACTTGGGAGGCTGAGGCAGGAGGACTGCTTCAAATTTAAGGCCAGCTTGGACTACATAGTAAGTCAGGACCAGCCTAAATTACATAGTGAGACCCTGTTTTTAGATAGACAGACATTTTTTTTCTGTATCAGGAATTGAATTCAGGATCTTGTGCTTGCCAGGTAGGCATGGTGCCACTGAGCTACATCCCCGGCCCCAAGATAGATTTTTTTTTTCCATTAAGTTTATCAGTACATTTTAGGTATACAGTAGTTACATTCATCATTAGGATTATGTACCTTTACATGATATATCGTGTTTCTTATTTCTTCCCCATTCCCCTGCCCTCCTCATCCTCTCTACCCTGCCCTATTTACAAAGACTTTGTTTCCATGTTTTTCCTTTTCTCATATTTTTCTTTTCCCTTCTTTCCTTTCCCCTATTCCTTCCATTACCCCTACTCCTTTAGATGTTTTCTTCCTATTTCACAATATAAGATAGATTTGGGCCGGGGATTTAGCTCAGTGGTTCCGCCGCCTACCTCGTAAGTGCAAGGACCTAAGTTTGATCCCCGGTACTTAATTAAAAAAAAAAAAAAAAAAAAGACTGATTTTTTAAAAAAAATGATTAAAATAGGTAGGGGTATTTTGGAATCAACACAGGCAAAGTCTTAGAAACAAGGATTTTTAAAACTCCTATCAGGACTTCCAAGAGGCAGAAGAGCAGTGCTGGGAAACAGTATGGGGTCAGGGGTGATCATCAGTAATGTTAATTATAATTAACATTTATTAAGGACTTACATGTACCAGGCAGACACAAGGATCAGAATTTACATGTGCCAGGCATTTAATTCTTACAATAATGCTATGAATACATAAGTACTTTATTCACTGGCAAATGGAGAGTTGAGATTTGAAGACAGAGAATACCTTTCAGCCAAAATTCTTCACCATGGGCCTTAGAGTCAGACACACCTGAATACAGCTCTGGGTGTGTGTTCTAGGCCAAGTTTTAATGTCCTTATACCACAGTTTTCTCACATTTTGAATAATATTCTCATAGGATTGTAAAGATTCAGTGAAATAATGCATACAAGAATGCTTAACATATGATACAGCTTTGTAACTGAAGTTTTTTAAAAGTACCTGGTAATGCCTTGTTTTTAAGCAAAAGAATGAATGACCTGGTAAAATGAGGTTTGGGGGAAGATGAAAGCAATGACACTGTAACAAATAGCTGGGAAAGAGGATAAATGGTGGAGCTCAATGAATAGAATCCTGAAACACAAGGTCTAACACACAGCAGTGGACAACAGTGAAGGCAGTGAAAATTAAAAAGGAGACAAGACCAGATATGGAACACTGAGAAAGAATCCATATGGTGGTTGACTTATTGGTCAAAGGTATGAAGGGTCAAAGACAGAAAAGAACCAAAGATAACTGAAAAGTTTTAATCCTGAAGGATTAGGAGAACAAGGCTACCAATGACCAAAATCAGTAAAGAAGTACTAATTCTGATGGGAGGAAAAAATGGTTTGTTTTCAAGTAGGTGTCACTTGATTTTTTTTTTTTTTTTTTTTTTTTTTTTTTTTTTTTTTT